CACCCAGTCATGTTAGAATTATCTTAAAAAAAATGTTTATCTCTCAAAAACATTTGCAAAAAAAACAACAACAGAAGGTTGGTGAGGCTTCCTCACACTGCTTTTTTTTTTTTTTGTATTCAAACAGTGGAAAAGAAAGGCAGTCAGAAATGGATTGTTATTTGGGTGGGGCATAACATTGTAGGAGATTGAAATCGGTCTGAGGCAGCGACAAGTGGTCGCGTCTCCCTGCCACCCAGTCTGACTGCAGGCTGAGCTGGCTCACTACAGTCAAACAGGGGAAGTCGACTGTTTTGACTCACAAAGTCATTTTTAACAGCCCGACTTCTGAGAAACCTATGTCGGCTTTCTTTATTTTTCTTTGTTACCTTGTCAATTGTAGACGGCCGAAATGTCCTGGGTTGTGCGTCAGGTTTTATTCATTATTCATTTGTCTGATTACTCTTTAATTGTCACTTTTTGTGATTTAATACTTTCATTTGGCCCCTATATCTGACACTCTTTTAATCTTGTCATGTTTCTTAAATTTCTTTTTTTTTTCCCCCATCTATTTCCTTCTTTCCTCCTAAATCTTTCCACTTATCTGCTTTTGACAGTCACAAAGATTTGACCCCCCACTCCCTCACTGTCTCCATGAATCAGCCTTTATGAACTCTCTTATCTCTGTTTGTGTGTCTGTCTAGCCCTGCGTCTCTCTTTTGGTCCATTTTCAGACTCAAATCTCCCCGACTCTCACCCCCCCTCCAGCGGCAGGCTAATCACTTTTGTACTTTTCCCTCAGTCCGTGGCGGGAGACTCCGGGGTTGGCAAAAATGCAGCAGGAGGTCTGGCAGTTAACATCATGAAGCCTGATGTCCCTCTGGGAAAGCTGCTGCAGCAGGGGGTATGTTCAACACTATTTCCCAGCCAGGAAACGCTGCACACACAGTGCATAATCACAAAGTCTTCAGTCAGACGCAAAGATAATTGTAAATCTGTCCAACTGCCACAGCTAGCTTTTATGATAGCGATTATTGTACTTAGTCTGAAAAACATAATCGGAAAATTGTCTGCTAAGGAGTTGGCACGCGGCTGGTTTCCATGTAGCAACAAACCAGTAAATCCGAATATCACCCAAATGCCCTGCGCTGGTAGAGTAAAAACACAAACTAGAACAGTTTGATTTAAGCTCCTTTTGGTGAAACTGTAATAATTTGCATCTTACTCTTTAGAAGCTCCCTCAAGTTTGAGCAAGAGTGTTTTAAGATATTTGCAGGGTTGTTTTACTTTCACATCTGGATATTTATAGTGTAGGCTATATTATTGGAGAAAATACTGAGCTGCACTGTGTAAGGATGTGTCTAAAGTCAGAGAATAGACTTTAAATTAAAATACTTTTGTTAGTTTATAACTCACTGAACGGCTTAGAAACGTTAAAGATCTGCTGCTGCATCAACCTTCCAAACCTCAACTCACAGGCATTCATAAAACAATAACGAATACTAAAAAACTATTTGACAACTATTTCCCGATAATCAGGTGGCGTCCCGATCGAGTAATTTCGATCAAAATTACTAATTTTGTAAATACGCTGCTTTGGCACTTATTAGTTATTCTTCATAGACAAACCAAATAGACACCAAGATCACCTCTTAATCCATGTTTCTCTTAAAAACAAAATTACATATCAAATCAGCTGTTAAGACGGAGTGTGAACACACACTGCTGCTGAAGTGTGATCATCAGTCTGTGTAATCTAGTACTTATAAAACAATTGTTTACTGAAGATATCAGATATGTTGTGACTTAAATGCGCTTAGAAACAAACCTGCTGGCGAAAGCCTGTAAGACTATTAAAACAGCAACACTTTTGACAAAATTAGTCCCACAGGGAGGCAGTGTAGTGAAGCTAAGACCTGCCTAATAATGGCTGTTTTTATTGAAGCCTTGCAAAAATCCACTCCGAGATTACGGATAAGTTGCTAACGAGACGAGAGAAATCTGACTCATTTGAGCAGAGAGGAACATTTTCAGGTTTAAGAAGAAAAACTGGACTAGCATCACATAAGCTCAGGCTTACTTTTGTTGGTCAGTTTGCAGATTGAGTGATGGCGTTTGAAAATCATTACATCTCTACTGAGCACAGTCATACTCAACAGAAAAATGTCTTCCTGATGAATCTCAGTTGTCACACTAATAGTACTTTTTTGTAACTAATAACTTTCAGGCAAGTTTTAAACATACTTTTAATTAAGTCTACATTTCTGCATTAAACATTGTTTTGTGCTGGTTTAATGTAACATTCCAATCTTAAATGTTTACTGTAGCTCTCATAATTAGCAGAAATAAGGACTTCGGGGGCGGGAGGGGGGGACAACAAAAAAAAAACACCAGTCTATGTGTAATTAATCAAGATGTGTCGCTCTTGGGGAGTTTAGTTACTGAAATAAATGAACTTTTCAATGACATTTATTTTTTTTTTTTTTAAATATGTCCCACATTTATTACACAAAATAGGATCTAAATCCCCATCCTTCAGTGAAGTGTTAGGGTAAAGTTAGCTGTGAATTTAAGAGTAGCTGTTGCTTATGGTCATGCGTCATAGCTGACAGCATAGTCGAACATATAAAACGATTACAAAAAGCTAAAGCAGGCCTGAGCTGAAGGAAAACACAGTACAGTACTGGTTTGGCCTAGTATGCCATGGGATTTGTGGGGGGGCTGCAGGCTATTTTTGATTTACTTTAAGTTTTTTTCTGTGTTTACTTCTTTTTAGCAGCTTTTCACAACATCTGTTTTTAGTCACAGTTACAGCTGACCGGGTTTTTGTCAAAAAAACAAAAAACAAAAAACAAAACCCTTTGGATATGTTGTGCGTGCTCAGAATTCATTTCCATATTCGTTATCGGTCTGGAAAAATACCATTTTGAGAGGACGTGCCTGGCTGCGGTGTGACACAGCTCACGCTGGTGAAACCAAAAAAAAAAAAATAAAAGTAGCGTTAAGCCCAGGAAACATGTCTGAAAAATGACAAACTCATTTGACACACACACACACACACACAAAAAAAGACAAACACACAATGAACGAGATACAGCGATTCGTGTGTGTGTGTGTGTGTGTCTCATCAATGTTTTGATTAATGTCTCAGAAATCCAGAGCACAATATCAGAGTATACCGCTGTAACAATGTTCCAGCTCCCCTTGGGTCTTCACCTAAAGCTGCTCTGGCAGAAGCACAAATAAGGGGAAAAAGAAGATCCCTAGAGCCTCATTTAAGAAAAGGAAAAAAAAAAAAAAAAAAACGGATATTGGGTTCAGAACTATGTGTCATACAGGCAATTAGGACTGAACTAAACAGCTCCTTGCAAGCTGCAGCACCAGAAAGCGAGACTGATCCCCTGCAGTGAAACTACATAAGGTCAAACTCTCCACAGGTTTTGCCAGTTGGCTAAAGTACAACACTGTATCCATGCCTGCAGCACCACGCTGAGAGGCTGCTTAGTACCTAAGGAAATACTGTGATTCGTAATACAGCAGGTCAGTTACTGGAGCCAGATTGTGTATGCAGGCTTGGTTTTCTAGAAGAAAAAAAAAAAAAATCTAACAGCCTTGTGTCTACTTTATGTTTCTCCGAAAAGAATGATGAAAATGTCACTTTGTTTATTTATTTTTGGTTTGTTTGCTTTTTTTTTTGTTTTGTTTTGTTTTTTTGGTATGTGTAAAGACCTTTGAATGTGGAAGCAAAACATCCAGCACTTGCAACTTCAAGCAAAACTAAAATAAATAATAATTAAAAAAATAATAATAATCCAAGAAATTTGTTATGGGAACAGTGAATGTCAAAGTACATTAAACAGTGGCAGCGTGTTTGTTGCTATGACATCTACACATTCACGGACAAGAGGCGGCATCTGTTATTTCTTTTAATAGAAATTTTGGGTAAATCAGATGGAGTTTGTCAAAGACTAAAATGAAACGGTGACATTAAATGCTACAAGAGTGAAAATGTGAACTTTTTCGCACTTTGTCGCATTGTCACCTTCCATCTATGGATCTACCAGCATTTCACGTGTAGAGATTGAAAAAGTTACCCATTTATTAACCATTTTAGGGATTTAGGGCTATTAAGTTGTTCTTTATTCAATAGTCATCTTAAAAACTAAAGTGGAAAAATAAGTTTCTGGGTTTTTATTACCTGCTGCTGAGGCAATCTTCAGCATAAACTTTCTCCACAAACAACAGTATCTGTCCATGAATTTAAAGAGAGCAAGTAAACGCTGAATGAACTTGTAAATTTGTTATCTCTAAAACTTAATGAGCAGATCTGGAGCGCTGCAAAAATGTTAGGCCTAGCTTTACTGTTGACATGGTCGTGAGTGTCGGATATTAATCTCACTGTTGGAAAATACATGGCAGCATGAGTCAGAGCAGACTCAGAAGCTTGATTTTTGGCTCACTGGGTTAGGTAGGGTTTCGTTATCTTCAATACCTTGTGGGGATTACTGGTTTGAATCTGTTACGGTCAGCCAGCCGCAGCAGGCGGGCTGATGGATGAGGTGCAACTGGGAAGGATTACATTAAATCAGTACCCACATGTTTTCTTGTGTCTTTGGACAGATTTTTAAAGAAAAAATGTTTTCTAAGCAATAAAGCCAACAAATGTTTCCCACCGCCCCCAGAAACCTGACAGTAACAAGACTAATTCTGCTGGGACGTCTTTCACGTGGGATTATTCACAAGGAACTATTTTGTCTGCCTCTGCAGATTGATGGACAACTACAGAGGGAACTTGTATGTGCCTAGAATAAAATGATGTCAAAGAAGGGAACAAATCGAGATTAATATCTGCCTCTGAACTTTAGTTTGACAGAACTGTCACTCAAAGGTTCAACATTGACTAAATATACTGGCCTTTTTGCCTGAAGTTTCAGGCTGCTTTATTTCCGTAAATGAAAGACTTAGATAAGAAAGTAAAATGTAAAAGGTGAGAGAAATAAATTGTAGCCGGTCAGACTTACAGGAGGCTGCGAGGGCGACGCACAGAAGCAGAGTGAATCTCATCAGGTGTCCCTCCATCGCTGAAAGTTTTCTGTAAACGCGGGATCTCAGTCTCTGCGGTGTGAAGGTGCTCGGTCAGTGGTTCAAGTGTCCTCGTCCGGTGGCAGGCGAGACAATGACTGTGGCTGTGACAGAACAGATAATTACAGTCATAGAAGGTGGAAAGGTTCAGGAGAAAAATAAAAATAAAAAATGAGGGAACCGGTAGAGAAATGTGGTAATTGATGAGATGTGTCCAAGTGTCACAGTCCCATTGTGTTAGGAACGTGTCATGCTAATGTCGCAATACAAAAATAGTCTCTGCTGCAAAAATAAACATGATTTATAATCGATAAGAACAATAAAAGAGCACATGTCTCCCTCTGAAAAAATTCCAAGTATGTGTCCATCAAAAACAAAACCAAATTTGAACAATGAAACAGTGAAAATAGACAGGTCACTGGTCACTTAAACAGCATGGCCAACAGGAATTTACTCATAAGACAGCGAGGCAACATTTCTGCCCGTCTTCCCGATGCACAATCAGGGTCTGAACCCAGAGGTTATCTGCTGGTCACCAAACGTCTGGCAAACTCTTTCAGGAAGCTCTGCGGCATCTCTGTCTTTAAATAATACCACAATGCCGAGATCAGATAAGAAGGAGACTGTTCTTGTTATATAATTCATATAGAGGGGAAAGGAAGAGTCTGTGTAAACTGTTTATGTAGCTCCAAGGAAAACAGAAAGCCTCGTTACTTCCCCGAACATCACACTGTAAGACTTTAAAAAAAATAAAAATAAAAGAAACTATAAAGAAAAACTGAAGCACTGAGCTGCTAATATAGAAACAATTCAAGAGCGTTTTTGTTGGTTGAACTGAGCCCTGATGGTAAACCTTTTGAGCCGCAGTTGGGACTCTCAGAGAATATCTAACAGATATAGCTTCCCCCCTTTTTTTTTTTTTTTTATCGACAGGTTTCTGTTTTTACAAGTAAAATATGTGACAATCTGCAGATACACAACCCCAGTAAATTGTTTTGATATATAATAAAATGGACTGGCGGAGAGTCAAGGAAAAAAAAAATAAAAATACTGGCTTCTGCCCTCTAAGCTTTCAGGGAAAATAACAGCAACGAGAAAGAATGAAAGCAAACAAATCAAAACTTACCGTTTTGAAATAGGTGGCTCTCTTGGATAATAGTTAGACTTTGTAATCCACTGGCGGGAATGCGGCTGCATTCAGCAAAGTGACGATGTGTGGACTTTCCAAAGTTTTTGTTTCTGCCGGGGCGGTACTGACTGACTTCTGTACCCCTCCCACAGGATCCTTTTTTTTTTTTTTTTTTTGCTTCTGAGAACAGAAACACATGCTGAGCCCTTGTGAACAGAAGAGAATGTTTAAAGAAGAGAAAGAGAAAAAAAAAAAACTAATTCCCTTCAGTTCATATAATGATCAACAGATGAGACGGTAAGCAGAACAATTATCTCATTCCCTCTGAATACAATCAAGTTTGAAAGAATAGGTTGTTTGGTGTCAACAAAATTAAATATGATGGGTTTTTCTAACGCATAAGGTACATCAGTGAGTCACAGAGGTTTCATTTGGCAAGAGCTGTGCATCCGTCCTCTGAATTAGTAATAGCTATGGTTACAAATGTCTCATCAATTTCCTTTTAAGGTACGTAAATTAGTTAGAATTTTACTAAGGATAAAAGAAGGCTCCTTTTATACTCTCATTAAAACATCTTACTGTTCATTCTGTAAAAAAAAAAAACTTAATTGTTTTTAGTTTTGTATACTATTGCATGTTTTAACAGTAAAATGAATAGAAATTAGTACATTTTTTATGGATATGGCACCAACATTTTTTTAAAAGCTTCAGCAACAATTGAGAACATATTCCACATTCTTGCGTAAAAAAAAAAAAAAAAAATCCCCTAAAGAACAGCTAAAACCAGTGAGACAAACATCGTCATCTGAGGTCTAGAAAAATGTTTGATGAAAGTAAAATGTGACAACATTTTATGAGCTTTCAATATGAAAACAAAGACAACAGGAAAAAAATTGGCCAGCGCTTAAAAATTACAAAATACCTTGTAACCTTAGGGTTTTACGTGTTCTACAATATGATATATTTATTTTTGAGGTATTATTTTTATTTTTTCCATTGCATTGTAACTCTTTTTTTTTTCTTTTCTTTTCCGTGAAACACACAAAATGTCTTAGAGGTAGAATTACATTTGGCCTCATCTGCAGAAAAAAAATGAAGCTGGTAAAAGTTGCTTCACGTAATATGCTGTCAAGTCAACATTGAAAACTAGCTAAACTTTTCTTTGTGTTAATGATTTAGTTACACATAACAATTTAAAAATATATATATATATATATATATATAAATATTTTGTCCCAGTACGTTCTGCAGCAATCACTACCAACAAACAATGGGATTCCTCATCTGCCAGCCCTCCTTACTCTCTCAGGTTTGAAGGGTGGCATCTCTATTCTGCAATTCTCAGATTGTCCTGTAAAAGTTTCATGTTGAATTAATTTAATCTGAGGTTACTGAGGGCATTCTTGAGTGAGTAAATATTATTGGTCAATATATTCTATTTATATTCTTAGGAGACCCATAACCAGCGACTGAGAATGAACCTTCTGACAATATGTTTCGCTCCAGGTGTCCAGCGCAGATTCAGCTTGGCCAATGCTAGTTGTGAGAAATCATCCCCAAAACAGCATGTAATGTATCATGTTCTTCTCCCTGAAATGTCGGACTTTCCTTCCTGAAAGCACAGCTACAACATGACTGGCCAAAAAGCTCTGTTTTTGTTTCATCGGGGTATCCTTCCAGATCCTTTAGGGCTTGCCAGCATGCTTTTTTTTTTTTTTTTTTTTTTTTTTTTTGCTTTCTCCAGTCTGTCTGTTTTGTGTTTTTCCGTCAGCGGTGGAGCCCTCCCGGATCTTGAACTTCTTCCATGGAGCCCAGCATGATTCGAAATGTGATGCATGTTGAAATCAGCATATTAAGTATTTTGGCCTTGGAGTTCTTGAATGGCTTTAGGTGACTCTTTTTTTTTATTATCCACCATCTGCACCTTCAATCTGATCAACCGGATTGCTTACACCAGGGGTCCCCAAACTTTTTCCTGCGAGGGCCACATAGCTGTTCCTTTCTGTGGTCGGGGGCCGGTCTTAGTTTTTGCAGTAAAAAAAAACAAAGAAATTCTTGTCGACGGGGGGGGGAGGAGACGACGACACTTTTGGATAGATTTTTACACTTTTGGATAGATTTTTACCCAGAATGCAAATGGAAAAAACCGTGAGTGAAACGGTGACTGACGAGTATATATTCCATTGAGGGAAAGTTTCACATTTGCTCAAAAGCCCCCTGGTGGTTGAAGAAAAATCCACATATAAACCGGAAAATACAATATATGAAAAAAAAAAACACTGAATGCTCTCTGGTATGAGGAGGCGGGCCGGATCCGGCATTGTTCAGGGGGCCGGACCAAATGACGTGGCGGGCCGGATCCGGCCCGCGGGCCGTAGTTTGGGGACCCCTGGCTTACACAGTCCACTGAACGCCATATCTGCTGACAGCATTAGTAACTACAGTCACAGAGAAATGAATCTGTTTGGGAATGGATTTTTAGTCTTTACTTGCATTATGGATATCTCTATATTCTTCTTTCTGAGGTCCTCGCAGAGCTTTCACTTTTCCTTTCTCCGCAAATACTTCCGAAACGTGAGGATTAAGTCTCTTTAGGGGTAGCACAAATCTGCCCCTGCATTTTCACCATATCACTCTGCAATAAGAAGCTAAGTATTCATAATTCTGTTTGTTTACTTTGCTTTATTTACAAGTACTAAAAGGCGGACAAGTGTACATTAGACCTTAACTGCATCGCTTTTCATGACATATTAATTATTTTGTAATAAGCCGTCAGGGTACCAAGAAATTTGAGTGCATCTATAGGTTTTAAAAATGATTAGCGACATTCTGCTACACTGCAAGAAAACTGCCTCACATTACCCTGTAGGCCATAACAATAATAATGTCAGCTGCAACCTCATTTAACAGCCTGTGGCAAGTTTGTATTATAATGATCTTCTGTTGCCACCTCTCACGTTACAGCGTGAAATTATTGGTTGAATGTTGACAAAAGCATTGAGCTTTTTTCTTTTCCTTTTTTTTTCTTCTTTTTTTTCATCTATGTGCTTTTTCTCAAAATAATTCCTCCAATCTTCTGCCCCCATCAACTATGATTTGATTATGCTAAAAATCTGGGCTCTTCTTTGCAGTCTGTTTTTTTTTTTTTTTTTTTTTTTTTTTTTTTTTTTTTTTTTTTTTTTTTTTTTTTATTGCTTCTGTTCCATCAGTTCTCATTTCTGGCACTCTATTGTCCTCAGACTCACATGTGATCTTGTAATTTTGAAGTGAGTTTTTGTATCCCTCAGGCAAGCATTTTCTGTGTAATTACAAAGCTATTATAGAAAATTACACACCTATTATCAGTTAAAGGTCATTGCCATATTTTATGGTCTATACTTGCAATTCATAAGCCAGAGATATTAGTGAGTCCATTAGTGAAAATGGGTTAGCAGGTATTGCTGCCACTTTTTTTTTTTTTTACATACAAAAATATCCACCAACTCACAGCTTTCAGTTCCAGACAAAAATAAAATTATGGAAAAAAATAAAAATATATATTTTGCAGCCATACCACTGCAGGTCTAAATTGTAGGAGATAATTAAGAGTCGGTCCATCAGACAAAAATTAGTGTTTTTGAACACGGATCAATTAAAATTATAAACACTAAAAGTGGAAGCATCAGAAGAGGAGAGGTCAGAGTGAATAAGATTATTTGCTTTCAGAACAGATAATTTCATCGTACAGTTATAGAAGAGCAGAGGACCTATACATATTTTTTTTTCACAAAACATCAATCTCATATACTGTCAGCAGATAGTGAGTTTTAACAAATATGTAAAAAATATATATGTTTTTTTAAAGTAAGTTACCTACTTCAGCATTAATATGTGTGATATTTGAAAATGCTTAGCAATCAGGTTAGACCTAGGGTTTTTATTATGATTCAGTGGTACATAAACCAATACAAAAATGTAAATGATCAAGTGAAAGGGAATGGATTTTTTTTTAACTAAAAGTCTGCTAAGTGTATTTTGCATTTGTGTTGAGCCCCCTCTATTTTGACACCCACAAATAAAACCCAATGCAATCCTGGCCACGCATTTTATTCATGGAAAATTTAGAAAAACTTCCTCCTCGCAATTCTGCACCATTTTGTGTTCTGCCACATTAGAATAATAATAATGAAAAAAAATTGTGCTGGTGACAAAATGCTTACCAAAGCTTACCAGAATGGACATGTTTTCAAGGCCCTGTATATTTGATCTGCACTGTTTTTGTTTTTGTTTTTCTGATGTAACAAAAAGCTTGAAGTTCTCAGGGAGCAATGTTTTTCTTTGGCTGCTTCACCATCACAGAAAAAAAAAAAAAAAAAAGCTGCAAAAGGGTAGACAAAACATCCTTTCCACTATGAAAGGACTCGGAGAAGTCATATTCCCATTGAGTCAACTCCACAACACAAAGCCTTTTAGTTGAGGAGAAAACTGAATAAAAGATAAACACGGAAATACTTTAACGAGTCTCCAAGAATATTTACAACGTGGCTGGGTCTCCCTCTTTCTGCGGTTGGCCCGAAAGGAGATAGTCACCGAGGTGAGAACCAGCATGGTGGAGCACATCTCTGTGGACACCAATGTTGTTGTCGCACCTCTGATTATGTCATTTGAAAGCACAACGCGAAACAGAACTGTGCCAACTCTTTGTCAGTGTGCATTCAGTGAGGGACCGCAGCAGTCTTAAGAGCATCCGATTTAGACGTTCAAATGTGACAAATAGCGAGCTAAAGTTATTCAGAGAGTCTTGTGTGTTCAGCCTAGATGATATGTTGCGTCTTAACGCCGCAAATCTGACCTCATTCTATCAAGCAGCATGTTCAAACAAATTCACATGAGACCTAACCCTAAGAGGGGGCAGTTTTGTTCTACTTGTATTCCTGCCCAAAGTATCTGGTACATAAGTGTCTGCATTCGTCACGCAGCTCGCTGGGCTTACATTTTAGCTGATGAGCAAAATGTCAGGGTTGGAATTCACCTCCATTCCTCACCAAAGGACATTTTTAAAGCAGCTCAATACTTCAGTGGCATTCCCTCCCCCCTCGCCCCCCTTCAGCCTCCTCTCCCCAGTAGTACTTTTTCAATAACAGGAAACAATCGGCCGTCGTCTTTCATCACAAGCTGACGTTGGTTCCCGCACGGTGCCACTAGGTCTCTATGCTGCCAGCCAGCCAGCCAGCCAGCACACAGCCAGTCTACAGCAGAGCTGAGAGAGAATAAAGAGCCTGTGTCGGCTTCCTCGTTTCCTTATCGTCCTCTTAGGCGGTGGGGGATGAGGAGGCGGAGGGGTCTCACGCTTGGGCTTTCACTGAAAGTACCCCGGATTGACACGAGTGGAAAGAAGCCCATCACCATTACAAAGTCATTTAATGTGCGTCTCCAGTCCTCCAAGCGGACTGAACGATAAGGCGCTTGTTGCAGAGTCGTCTCGTTTGTGAATATCCATCTCATTTTTGAAAGCGGTCGACAGTTTTTGTTTTTTTGCTGGCATTAAAGTGAGATTTTAGTTACGTGATGGGCGGAGGCACTCTATCACAGAAAATGACAGATTGATGATGTTAAATCAGTCCTGTGTTGATAACCCAACGGAGGCCCCCCAAACGAAAACCCTGAGATAATGAATCTTGACGTATACATTCAGCTAGAAGCTCTTGTTTTAAATAGACCATGTGGGTGGTTCTGTTCCAACCTGCCCCGATTTCTTGTTTTCATCTACAGTTGCTTAACTGCAAATCAAAACAAATCCTGAACAATTCCCATGCTTACCACAAAACATTTTGACATGAAATAATCACCTGCAGCAAATTAACCCTCAACTGTAGTGATATTTCAAAAGCAACACCTTGCATGCGTTTGAAGCATGTTTCCAAAGCTGAAACACAATGCACCAAATATGCTTCTTCACGTACGTGAACTTTTGCTGTCGATATCTGTAACAGTAAGCTTCATAAGTACATCGTTTTGGTGAATTATATATGTAGATTATTGGAGTACTTACTCAGCTTTAAGAGTCAGACTTCTCTGAAGTATGTGCCTCATCAGATGACAGGCATGCTTTAATAAATTCTATACATAAATATTCAATGTATTCAGTGTCTTTAAAATATGCACAAAACATTACTTCGGTTTTTCATCTCGTCAAACCGTAAGATTTTTTGCGTGTTAGACTGGGGCATCTAAAATGCATTTGTCAAGGATTTTACCAAAAGGCTGTAATACGAATGTGTTCAGTGATTAATAAATAAATCTAGTCTGATGAAGAACATTATAAAATATTACTCTTTTTTTCCCTCTAAAAGGGCAGTCAAAACATTATCACATGATATTTCTATCCAACCCACAGGAAGGGTCAGTATCTTCACTTTAATCCTGAACTGGCACCAAGCTAATCCTTTTCATTTATTTTTTTTTCTGTTGCCTGACTAATTTAAATATTAAACTTTTTTGTTTTTGTTCCTCAATTTCCTGTTTTGCATTTTACTTGTAGGCTTGAACTATGAAACGAAGACCTGAGTACGATTTCTGACAAAAGCAAAACTGAAGTTCAATATTCAGAAATTTAATCACTTTGTTTCTCTTTGCATGTCAGCCTCCTGTGTTATGCAATATATTTTTCAGAGCTTTACAACATAGAACAAACAAGGAAATTGAAGGGAACTAAAGATAAGAGTGGTTGCAAGGAGGCCTTTCATTCTCAAAGATTTAGGCTAATCATCAAGTCACTAAATCTTGAATCATAAAATGTTTTGATCTCTCCAATGGTACTATTTTTTTTTCTTTCATTTGATTACTGATGTGGTTCTAAATAAATTTATACTACTTCAAAAAACAATGTAAATAAAAACTTTACCCTATATTTCCCCTCCTTTTACTTCATTTGCATTGCTTTCTTTTTTCTTTTTTCTTTTTTTGAGACGTCTGCTTCATTTCCTTTCAGACGTTCAGCAATAGAGAGCATATGCTCTCTATCGGCGCCTCAGGTGGCTATTTAAGGAACTGCGGTTTAAATCTTCCACAAAACAACTTGTAAGACCTGAAAATTGTGGATTTCTGTGGACGTTTCTGCATGAAATTTTAATGAACTATCAATCCCTTGTCGTCCTATCTGAAAGCAGAGTTCTCATCTCTTTTCACCAGCAGTTTGGTCAGTGTAATACTGGTATAATAAACAGTTTGCTATTCCTGTGATATTTCAGAAATGTCTACTTGAAAAGACTGAAATGTGCAACCCTGAAAATGCATCTTCTATGCTACTTGCTATTTGCTGTATGTTGTTTTGTCTCACTTCAACGACTCGACAGATGATTCTGTAATTGCACAACAAACATCTTTTGCAATAACTTCCACGTCGCAAGTTATAATCTCAATATCCATTTAAAAACAATGCGTGCTAACTGTATAAGTCATCAGGTGTTATGACTTATAGATGTTTTCGAATGCATGACTGATATTGTCTCAAATTTGTTCGACATTAATAAGCCGTCGGTCAATCTAGACGCCAAAGTTCTTCCACAGTTGTACGTGGCAAATTCCACTGCAAGCTCAACATGTCCTCTTTGTTTTCTACCTTTATGAAGCAAGAACAAAATTCTTGGCATTCAAGCAGCATCCTCAGTGACTTTATGAAAGCGTTTCAGACGCCTCCGTCTGATTGACTTTCCTACGGACACATCCTGTCCACCTTCAGAGGCCATTTTCCCTTTCCTCATCCCTACAGAGCACAGTCATGATCAGAGCCGTCCTTGGAGAAAAGTCCGGATACCTGCAGTAGCGTTGGCTCAGCCCCGACTGGAAATACGTGTGTTTGTGTGAGAGAAAGATGAGGGAGGTGAGAGGCAGAGGAAGAGCAGCTGGTCATTTGGGCCTCAAAGGAGTTATTGGAATAACACTGCTGGACCACAGCTGCTGCAGGGTGTCCTGTATCCTGTTGTGTCTGCATTCTCCAGCGTCCTCGTTGTGGTTTATTATTAGAAAGCATTTCCTGCGTTGGACTCCTTTTATGGCGTTTGACCAGAATTACCAACAATCTCAGTGTGGTGGCGTTTAAAATCGTACAAAGTGGAATCTAGGGATGGAGATCAGTACATACACCACCGCAAAATTAACATCAAACTACATTGTTTTATAGGATATTGAACATCTGTATTTTTTACAACTTTATAGAGATCTCTTTCACATGTGTACATACCGTCACAATGAAAGCGGCGCAAAATATCCGCAGAGCTTAAGATGGGCTAAAAAAAGGAATTGAAAAGTTCTGCCTATGTGAACAATAACCTTATTTTATAATTTTGTCTCCTTTAAATGGCACAAGAAGACATATTGTAGCAGCGACGTGGCTGTTTTTTTATGCATTTTGAACTTCTTTTATAGCAAATGTGTTGAATAGATCTATTGTATGTTTGTATAAAAATAAGATTTTGTCTTGTAATTCATCGTAACCACATTATCCGCCAATGTCACATTGGCACAACATGTTCTGTTTGCCAAAATGGACAATACAAGAAAATGATAAGCAATTTAAATGTCAAAGCTCAATGACCAGCTGTAGTCAAGTACAAAAACTAAATGTTCTACCCTCAAGTTAGGAATACAGTAGAGCATCTTTGAAAAATATGAAAATATTGTGCAAGGTGTCTGTTACATGGTGGACACCCATGATCTTTTTTATTTTTTAATATATCCTTGCATAAACTGCATCTCAGTGTGATACTCCAGCTGCAATATGGCACACGAAGGGCCCTGAAGAGGACAGTGACAGGAGCTGAAATGGTTGTTGGAGTGTCCCAGTCCAAGGCCTGTTTAGCAGTCACTGCAGTGCAGTGACGGGGTGCGGACCACTGCCAGAGATCCTGAAAATCTCTCCGTGAGCTTATTAAACTGCAGTTATCAGGCAAACAGTGGCAACAACAATAAAAGCAGAATTACCAGATCGGCACACAGTTTTTGGCTCAAGCTGTTAAAACGCTGAACTACTGTTGGTATTATAATAGTAATAGCAGTAAGGCGGTTATTTTATACGCAATAGATGTCTTGTGTTTTTAGCTCGGTATTCAAGGCTTTAGCACACTGAACTGTCCTCAGACTGTTGTGAGCACATTATATATTATATCGAAATGACAATAAGCCATTTACATTTGATTTGATTCAAACACTTGTGGGGTGTGGAGGTCCTACGATTAGTAGTCTGTCTTCCAGTCAGGTTTAGTCCTTTTAAAACCCACACATATACTCATAAGAAAACAACATCCAGACACAGCTCATCCAGTTATGCCGTTTTACTACAGTGCATCAATAGCCTTGGAAACCTGGGCAAAGACGTCATCCACCGCCAGCTCAGAATCCACCTGCAAGATGAATAGAAAAACGACATCATGAGACTAATGTTTCAAATACGTTCTATATGTTTTTAGTCAACGACGCGTTTGTCGTACACACCTTCTTCACAATGCCACGGCCCTCATAGAAAGCGATGACCGGCTCGGTTGCCTTGTAATACAAGTCCAGGCGTTTCTTAATTGTCTCTTCGTTGTCGTCAGAGCGGCCGCTGGTCTCGCCACGCTTCAATAGTCTCTTGACCATGGTTTCTGCTTTCGCATCGACGTACAGCAGCAGGCAGGGTTTGCCGATCTGAGGTCGAAATCAAAACTTCTGTAGATTTAAGGCTGCAGCAATAAATAAGAAATCCCCGTGTATGTTCTCACCTTCTTCTCAAACTCCTCTCCCTGTTTGACCTCACGAGGATAGCCGTCGATGAGAAACCCCTTTGAGACGTCAGCCTTGGCGATCATGGCATCCTTAATCATGTCCAAGACTGTGTCCTAGAAAGCAGACAGGAAAAGGTGATGAAACTTTACGATGTAGCGGTTCTAACAGAAAATGCTCACGGCACCACTTTAAACTCTCGGTCACGTCCTTACCAGAGGAACAAGCTCCCCTTTCTGCATGATGGCCTGGAGTTGCTTGCCCCTTTCAGAGCCGGAGGCCACCTCAGCACGTAGCAGATCTCCAGAAGACAAGTGGGTGTAGCCATACTTTGCAACTATCTTTTCACACTGGGTGCCCTTTCCAGAGCCAGGTCCACCTAAGGACATCAACACAAAACCCAATGTGGGGGCATACAAACAAACAAAACAAAACAAAAAAACCCAAGTAGTTGAACATCTTGCAAGTGAAGTGTTAGGACCGGTTCAGAGTACTCACCCACAACAAAGATGATTTTGGCATCCTTGATTTTGTCTGCAATAAGCATTGCAAAGAGAAGTTATGAACATGTACAAAACCACCGGTGGCTTTTCTACAAATGTAATTTTAAATCCACAAAGAGAGATTTAGGTAACAAACCATCTTGTGAGGTGGATGCTTTTTTCATTTTTAATGTTGCAGAACAAAGAGTCTTCTTGTGCAACAAGCTGCTTTGGCTGTGCTCGCCTTGAAGTGAGTTTGTGTCATTACTCAAACTGCGTTGACATGGCAACTGTTGCTATCTAATTATGCTATGCAGCCAAGGGTTTAAGAGAGAACTAAAAGGAAAGTGGTAAGCTTAACCACTGCAGGAGAAAACCCCTAACTCGGATTTATTGCTTTAGATCATAACACATTTACATGTTTATTGAAATTAAATACATAATTTCTATTCAAATAATGATTTATTTCTATGTGAACTAAATACCGCAAATACACGGGACCGTTAGGATTTTTCTTGCAACCTATAAAAATACCAGAAGAGGGCAATAGAGGCCTTTAAAAAAAAAAAAAAAAAAAACTCCTGTCTGGCTCTGCTTTACTTAAACACCACTAGATTACTAATGGAAGTACAAATGAAGAAGTTTCACCTCATTGGTCATATGCAGTAGAGCATTTATCACTTCACTGAAAGTGATGCATTGATTACCTGCCATTGCGTTGTGTCTCTGGAGTGTTTTCTTTCAGCTGTGAAAAAATAAATACATAAGAGCCATTAAGTAAATGTGAAAATGCAATACATTTCAAGGTGCCAAGAACCCTAACCAGTCATTGTGCTGCTTGATAATTGGAAAACATGCAGGGAAGCAAAGTCTTTCCACTTCACTTCTTTTTTTTTTTTTTAATTCTTCTCCTTACCCCTTACTGTCAGTATAGAGTAAAATACAAATAGATTTTGTAGTCTGAACTGGCTGACATAACTTTTCTCAGATGATTTTTCTATCGTTTCCAAAATCAATTCAGGATTGCTCTTTCTAATGTAGCAGCAGAAGACTAAAGGTCATATAAGGTTTCCCTTAAGGCGTTACAGCTATTTTATTGATTCTGACATTCCTTTGGCGATGACTGAACTGAAAACACGATTTGTTTCTAAAGTTGTTTTATACTATTCTGTTCTTTTATTTGTTAGCTTTTTCTCTAAGGAAATTATGTTTGTCCTTGCACTCACTGTGCACATTGGATTCATACATACGGTCCTGAAGATATATAGAGTGCAGAATTAATACGATAGACTCGAGTTTAGGTTTAAAGTTTTACGTTACCCCTAAGAGGGCAGGTTTTGAGCGCAAGACGTAAGCTGCAAATTGAAAACCAGACAAATTGAAAAAGTGCTGTTATAAATTGCAATGACATGTGAAACATTAATGTAACTCAAAAGACAGTGGGGGAAAAGCAGGATTTGCTCTACATGAGTTCTGCATTTTTGCTTCTTAGAATGTATTAATAGTAGTAGTAGTATTAGTAGTAATAGTAGTAAGTGTCACATCATTGTACTTTTTTGCCTCTTGTGTAAACTTTAAACACAAAATACACACTGCAATGAAATTTTTGCCGTTTTGTTTCTTTTTTTATTATTATTTGGCTATAGGGTAAGTAAGCATATGAAGACTTGCATTTTCACATACTACTCTTGGCAATATTGCTCAACCAGTGGAAAATTCAATCGATGCCATCTAGAAAAATCTATATTAAAATCCCCACATATTCATAATTGAACCATGTCCATTTCAACACATGCTTCTGCCTGGTTCTAAGCTTTTCCACTGCAGCTCTGCCTGTAGGTTTAACATATTTCTCATGCAAAAGGGTCTATTTAAGTTCTTCTCCGTCAACAGCATGTACTCTCCCTAAATTGCTCCGTCTTTATCGCCATCTTCCAATCAACTCAGACCAGCCTCCCTGTTCCTGCCAAAGAAAAATAATCTTCACAGCATGATACAGCTCCCGTTATGGTTCATCATGGAAATAGTGTGAAAATCGTGATGTGCGGCGTTGCTTTTTAAACAAACATTAGCATTGTGAATGGAGGTCAAAAAGCTGAATCTTAGTCCGATCTGACAAAAGCTCCTTTCCCTACATCTGTATCATGATTTCTAAATGGCTTGTCGAAAAATATACATATAAAATAAGTTTTAGTTGTACAACCAGATAGCTACTAAGTATCTTAACATAGAGTATAATTATGTAATTTAAAAAAACGACAACAAGGATTTCATGATAGGATTTCAGATAAAGTATATTTTTCACTCTTTGTACCGTTTTATTTTTTAATTTTCAATTCTGACACTTTGGAAAATATACAGCACCTCCAGCTCTTAATGTTCAGCTGACAGAGGACTGCTAGTTTTACCCAATATGTACTTATGTACTCAGCGTATCTAAAGAGAACAGTAACCACAGAAGAGTTTTAGTAAATATTCTTTGCAGCTGACAGATAAAAGAATGAGGAAGTAGGTTGGATGTAGGCGGGCATATTCAAGTGCAAGCTTGCCCCAAGTCTCTAGCCCAAGAGCTTCCCTAGTTCCTGCAACTGTTTGCATTTTAAACAGCAATTTTCCCTTTTGTACAAATGAATGGTGCATTTTAATTATTTAACAATCAATTTAAGATGCATACATTTAGAGTTGATTATCACACAGTCATGTTTAGTTATACATTATGAATGGTTTCCTATGGTTTTATTGCTGCATTATCAAACTGTTAATTCTAAAAGCAATTTTTTTTATTGAAAAAAACAAAAAACAGAACCTCTTTCTTTTATGCATTTCTGCCAATTTGATAGTCAAATCAGCCTGGTGTGTTTAACTCCTCACCCCATGTTTCTGCGTTGCCACAGATAAATGGGACATACTCCCATGCAGGGCTGGGTTGAGGAGAGAGTCTGCCTGAGGGTAGAAGTCATGTTTTGGTGCCCAACCCAAAATTATTTTTACACATTCAAATTGCAATAGATTGAAAAGTAGATCCTCATCTATTTTAACAAACACACACACACACACACAAAAAAAAGAGGAGGCATGGGGAATACAGTTAAAGAGTGTTGCCATTATGATTTCAAGTGCTGCAGATGAAGGTTAAGGCTAGAGGTAAGGTAATGATGAAACCGTTTTTAAAAAGATGAATTCTGGGTAATGATAGTAGAAACTAAACACTCTCAGCTAACATGAGGTTATAAACTTTTTTTTTTTTTTGGAAAGCTGTTTGAAAACATTCATTGAATTAAATTTAAAAGAAAAACTCTTTGGATCCCCCAAGCCACTGCCGTGACAAAATACTCTGCCAAGGATTAATGCTAACAAAAACATAACATATTAAAACTTTTAAGTTTGGTTATACAAAATAGAAAAGATTAAAAGAGAATGGCTTCATAGCTTGCAAAGATGCATGAAAATGAGAATTAAAACATTTTTTTTTTTAATTAATTTTGGGATATCCGTTTGTACCTTATCAACCGTATTACCTTTAAATCCTTGCTTGACATACATTCACAGGAAGATGGTGGCTTTGGGTTAGATTAACCAATGCTTAGTTACTGGACTCTGTTGTCAGCATTCCTGCACTGGATCAGCTTGCACTAAAGTTTTGAACTAGTGTTAGAATGGCATTACAAGTTCTACACAATTAATCTACTGTAAAGTACAACCAAAAATGATTTAATTATGTGCTAATTTAATTTGCCGTACACCTAAAGAGTGATGGTGCTGTGTTCTCAGGTTTCCGGTTTTATGACGGCACCCTCTGACCCTGTGGTCAGAGTAAATGTCACTGGTGGGCTGTTATCGGAGTCAGCACGGCGCCTCTTTGGGATTCCCACTCTGGCCTATTATGGTTATCTCGGTTGTTTGGTAACTTCAACCAGCATGGTCAATGCTCTGGTGTTTTGTGAAATTACAAATTAGTGGACCATTCTGAGCCATTGTTTACATTGTTGCCATCAACAATTTTAAATACCCTGAGAGTAACATAAAGGAGTTGGATCTGTAATGTCCATTATCCATAAAAGAAGTAGCAAAAAAAATAATAAAATAAAAAATAACCTTAGACACTCCAAAACTCTACATTACACCCACACGTCTTTATTGCTGCTTTTTAATATGCAGTCAGTCCTGCTAAAAAAAGACCCAGGTTGTCTGCAGCTGTTAAAGGACTTAGTGACACCCATTAAGCACGTGGAGACGCAGCCCTGGCTGACTGCTCTGCAAGCGACTGGACAGGAAAACACGGTTGACAGTTTTTTCAGAGCACACGCTCCAGTGCACAATTTGGTTAAGCTTTCTCCAAGTTTAATTTGCCGTGCTGCCCCTTTAAAGGACCCTTTGACGTCAGTGCACTTTGAGGCATTCCATGATGTTTGTGAATGGATGGAGTGAGAGAAATCTTGTTTGTGATCTGGTCGCAAAGTGGTACCTGGAATGTGCAGCAGAATCAATAACACTCTTGCACTAATCAGTCGTTAATGACCTTTATGGGGGCTTAGAGGGATCGATGTGGAATTAAATGGCTGCAGTGAGTTGCATGGCAATGACCTTTATTGGTTGCAGTTCAAAATATGGTTTATGCATTGAT